TCAGTTCCTACAGATTGGGAGCCTTTATGTCAAAGTTGACTCTCAACAACAATGGCTTTACTGGATTATAATTAGCCACAATTGAGAGTTAATACAAAGGAAAAAATCCACATAAAAATTGTTCCTGCATTTTAATAAAAAATTTCTGTTTGAAACAATTGTCCAATTCTCTGGGAAGTAAGCTCTAGGAGGGCAGAAACTTCACGAGCTTTAATATGCTATGGGCAGTGTCTTGGCACACACCACAGGCCTAAATAAACACTTGGTCTATAAAGAATGAAGGAATTATGTCCCTTTACATAAAGAGCTATGCAATTATCTTTTTTAAAGTTTTACTACAGGGGAAAAAAAGTTTTATTATAGGGAAAAAGGTTAGTCTTCCTAAATAAACCACATGCATTTCTTTTCATTAGACAGGAAGAATTTGTTTTCTCGGCCTTCACTTCCAGGAAGATCAAAGTGACACCATTCCAAGAATACCTTAATTGGTCCCTTTTTGTCTTTCATCTTGCAAATCCTGTGCTTTCTCACCACCGCCAGAATTACCTTATGGAAAAAAACAGAAGCACAGAAGATCAAATCCTGGGCTTCCTCCTCAGTCCTGTCCCAGGCTGGCTCTCCCTCCAGTCTGCAAGCCCTGACATGTTTCTTTCTTGGCCTTCTCTACCTGCCTTTATGTCCCCCCCCCCCATGCCCCTCCTGTCCACCGTGCTGCCACCGTGGGATTCCGTGGACCCTCAGCATCCCGCTCCTCCTGCCCTCCACACCCTCTGGAGGTCATCGCCCACTTCACAACGCCCTTCCGCTCTCATTATTCCAAGCTCTTGTCCCTCCTCCATTCCCACATCAAAGACCCTGTCTTTTGAAATGAGCACTCGCCTCCCCCATCTTTGCATCAAAGTGGCTCCACTTCTAAAGCCCGGTTTAGTCCAGGGCAATGCTATCATTTCCTGCTGATAGGATTGTGTGAGGAAGCCATAAAATTACCCCAGTTCAATAAATATCCATGCACAATACATTTTAACTGTTTATAAAATTTCTTCTATTCAGCTGAAATATATTTTATTTTTATTTCTTAACTTAGGTACTTACATAATTTGTGCCTTAAGAACAATATTTCGGGCTGGGAAGATAGCTCAGTAGAATAAGCACTTCCCTGGCAAGCGCAAGGGCCTGAGTTCAATCCTCGGTACTGCAAAAAAGAAAAAAAGAATATTCCTAGAGTATAATTCATTTTAGCATTTCCTCGACATAGATCCTTTTCACAGAATAGGCAACTTAGTCTTTCTGGTATGCGTGAGCATGGGCAAAAATTTAACACTGTCCAATGTAGTCAATGCATTGTTCTGTTCTCTAAATTAGTTTAGGACAGTAACAGTTGTATCCTTTGTATCTTTTGCATAAGTTTGATATTTTTACTGTTTAGTACTTCTGTCATAAGAATTTGATGTCTGACAAATCAACTGATATGTGATTATATTTGTAGAAATGGGAGATACATAATATTAAGTGTCGTACCTTATACCATTTAAGTTTTCATGTTATCTTACATAAATCATAATAATCCTATTAGGGAAGTAACAGCATCCTCTCACTTTAAACAATGCACAGAAGTATGATGGCATAATGCAAGTGGCTATGCCCATCAAAGGGTACTTTGTAAGAAACCATTGTGTTTTGAGATTTTTGAGATTTCTCTCTGAGTTTCTTAATCTCTTCCAACTACAAAGACTTCGATTACATGCCCCCTCCTCCAGCATTTTCTCTGCTTATGAGTCTGAGTTGATGACCCTAGTGGGCTCTCTGGCTCTGGTTTCATGTCTTCTTACTTGGCAGCCATGTTCTCAAAATAAAAGTTACGTTACAATTATCTGACACACAATCTAGAGATAGGACTCAGCTTCAAACTCTTTTGTAAGTCTCATTCTCCTAGTATGTGGGTGTGAGGAAAATATTTAATGATTATGGAAGAAAACAAAATCTGAATGGGATTCATTATAGAAAATCCTTCTGACCATAGGCTTGACAATTTATAAATCTGAGTAGGTTATTTGCCTCACCAACCTAGCAAACCAAGGAAGTTAATCTTCTTCAACATCATCCTTTGAGTCTTATCATAGATATCACATATATACTTCTTCAAGAATCAACAGAAAGTATGCCTCTTCAGTTGGGAGGGGGTTGCTGAGTTTATTCATTATCCATCTAAAATATATTTCTCAGGATGACCTACAGATTTTTGGGGGGGTATCAGGAATCAAACTCAGGACCTTGAGCAGGTACTGCGCAACATGGATGGCCCCTACAGCTCTTATAAAGTCAGCAAACTTTAATTTGTCTTACATTACACAAGATACTTAAATTAGTCTGGTTAAATTCTGAATATATCCTGGATACAAACTGAAAATATATATCTCTAGTGAAGTTCAAGAGAAGTTCTCTAGAGGGCCTTGGAATTTATTCATTAAATAAAAACAAGCTCATTGAATGATTTGACATCATTAGACAGCTTCGCCCCACACAGAGATGCACCTATAAAGACATTACTCTATCCCACAGCTTGCAATCTTAATTTAAGCAAGGTAGATAAACACAGTACATTTTTTTTTCCATTTGATGTGTTTGGTACAGGGTCTCACTATGCAGCTTGGACTCATAGTGATCCTCCTACTTTCAGCCTTCCAGTGCTAGGATTACAGGCATGCCCCACCACACCCAGACTCGGTCCCTGGCTCAGCAGGCCCTAGGGGCAGGACTGGGATGGCATGTGGGACCCGGGAATCAAACTCAGCCCCTGTGCTTGCCAAAGCAGGTGCTTAGTTCACTGAGCTATCTTGCCGGCCCTAACATAGTACATTTTTAAGACAAAACAAAAGATGGGGAGAAAAATAAGAGTGGTGAATCAAAAATGCAAAGGAATTGACAAATGTTTCATCTACTGCCTTTTTCTTATAGACTTAGTTGCCTTTACCAGAAGGAATTATAACGCTAAGGTCCAAAAGGGATTTTCTGATCATGCCTGTGCCGGGGAGGTGGCTCAGTGGGATAAGTGCTTCCCTGGCAAGCTCAAGGACCTGAGTTCAATCCCCGGTTCTGAAAAAAAAAAAAAAAAAAAAACATAATCTGATCATGCCTGAGGACTCTAGGATCATTGCTGCAGCGTCCTCCATTCTGGAGGTCTAGAAACTCCTCTTGTCGAAGAGTCCTGGTTTGTCCCTGTTTGCCTGACTTGGAGCCCTAACAGTCTACAACCTCCAAGTTCAGTACCAGAAATGAGAAACTGGCCAGTAAGATGTTAGGAAATAGCCCCACCTGGAAGCCTGGCAGTAACGTGCTGTGCCAGTGCATATAGTGTAGGGTAGCCACAGCCAGCCCACGTATGTGAACAACGTGGGATAACAGAGATAGACTTCCCTATCAACTCATTTCATGGTTGGTGTAAGAGCCTAGCTAGCCCTTTCATTACCATTAGGTGGAACCAAACCAAACCAAACCAAACCAAACCCCATAGCTTCCAAAGTTCCAGATTTCATGCTAGGTTGTAGAGATACAGATACATATAACACAGGCTCTCTTATTTTTGGAGACAGCCCATAAACATAATATTTTAAAATAATACAGTAATTATAGTGACCGAGATGTAGTCAGGATAAAGCCCCAAGGAAAGGTACCTAGACCAATTCAGTAGCCAGGAAAGGGTTTAGTTATTGGAAAAGAGGAATACTCTGAAATTAGGCAGGAGAAGATACCCCAGAAGTTACAAGTGTGTTTCAAAACAGAAGAAAATAACGGACAAAATCTGCAAACACTAAGTAAAAAGAACCTAAATTAAGGATTCCACTGGGCCAATAATACACGCTGATGGGAAGTCTGAGTGAGCGCATGAAGCTGTATTAGAGTGGGTTGAGGGCTTGCAGGCGATCAGACAGTAAGGGCAAAAAGCCAAAGTGGGAAAAGAGCACAAAGTGAAGAGGATAGTTTTCTTTTTGATCCAAAAAATAGGTTTCTAACCTAAAGAAAGTCTATTGTTGGAAATGAGAAAGAGATAACTGATGCATCCAAGGAATAGGAACTTGATTCCAGTTCCAAATCCTACTCTTTTTCTCCTGGGATGGACTCTCCTGACTCTGCTATCGCCCTATTCCAGCACTTTGGCACATTGTTTTTTAATGTTTAGATGATTATCAGAGGATAATCCTATCTTAAGCCTGTTGAGGCCAAGAATGTTTTTTTTTTTTTTTTCTTTCTCATTTTACTTATACATTTCTGCACCGGATAAGCATTCAATGGCTATATATGAATTGATTTTTAACCAGAGTTCTATTATACTGAACAGTGTTTTGTAATAATGTGTCTTCCTAAAGGACAGTCATTTGTTTTTTAGTGTAATGAAGCAGGCAAGCAACATGTTTTTCGAAAACTATCCTCTTCCTAAGACGGGCTAGGGGACTGTGACACTGTTGGTTTATATTCTAATTAAATTAGAACCGATGTGAAATACATAGTCCATAGCAGGCAATATAGTAGGCATGCATTAAAGTTTATTGAATTAAAGAGTGAATTGGGCAATCATTTAATTTGACTGTTCCTTTAACAGTAAAATAAAATTATTACCACTTGCGCCACCTCCCACACAAGATTACTGTCCCATGATGTTTATGCAAGGGCTTTGAAGATTATAAAAGCACATTAGCACTTTAAAGTGGAATTTATGTTAATGTCATTCCCATAGCCAGTTAGGTTTACGGCTACCAATTCATTAAGTAGCATTTTCATTAAAATCCACGATACTGCACAAAATCATCTAAACACGTGTGACTGTTCTTTTAGATTACTGTATCCCTAACTTGGCCGGATGCAGGGCTCTGGTACCATCCATATACGAGTGGCCGTGAGAAACTTGTATTTCAAGTAGAATCTTTTTTTTTTTTTCCTGTTTTTATGTCATAAAGAAAGGTTTAGAAGAAATAGCAAGGTCCAATAATAGGAATCCCATCCTCGTACTTAGAAAGTGACCGGGGACCCAGCTCAGCGTCCCCGGCTGCAGCCAGGGCGACCAGCAGCGGCCCGCGGCCGGGCAGCGGACGCCGAGGTCGGAGGTCGCAGGACCGGGATCCCCCCGCCCCTCCCAGGGTCGGACCCGGCGGTTGCGGTCCCCGCGCCGGCGGCAGGAACCCTATGGGCGGTTGGAGCGCAGAGCGGCGCGGCCGTTGGGGACTCCAGCTCCCGGCAGGCACTGCTCCGGGACCGGGGCGCGCGGCGGCGCTGCCCGCTGGGACTCGTAGTGCGGTCGGTAGGAGAAAGGCGCTCGGCTCCCTCCGCGCTCATTTCGGAAGCTGCCCGCGGGGTACCAGCCCGGCCCATTCGGGCACGGCGTCCCTGGGCGTAGGCCTACCGGCAGTCCGGGACGGGAAGCGGCCCCGCAGGCCACGCACGTGGGGTGGCTGGCGCTGAGGAACCCGGAAGCCCTAACGCCGCCCTCCGTGGCGCTGACGGCCTCAACGCTCCCCGGGGGTGGAGGGAAGGGACGGGGCGTACG